GCAGCGATCTCTTGTTGTACGGCAGCCCATCCGATTTCTCTTATTCAGGTTTTGTCCCTACCTTCCTTATTTCATCTTCTGACTATTTAAACCACCAGTACCTCAGGGGGTCACTAGTACCTCAGGGGGTCTTAGGCCCCCTCTGACGCAAATGAATACAGACCCATGCTGCACATCGATTCATCCACTGAGTTAGCGCCCTAAAAACGCTTTAGGTAATGCTCTCAACTTTCTCTCTTTTTTTCTGGGTAGACTGTGAGGACCCCGGCCTCAAGCTATTCTGATATGGGGCGTGGGGCCCCGTTCCCAACACATGCAGCTGCCCACGAATAGAAAGGAGCCCTTGATTTGGCAAGAGGTAAAAAAAAAGGGAGAGGGGGTCTGGTTTTACCACTTGCCATCCACCAACATACTGAATCCATCTGGATACAGGCTCTGTAGGAGAGAGAGAGAGAGAGTGAGGGGGCAAGGGTTGAAAAATGGAGGTGAAAGAGAGTGAGAGAGAGAGTACAAGGGCAAGGGTTGAAAAATGGGGGTGAAAAGAGAGAGAGAGAGAGAGAGAGAGAGAGAGAGAGAGAGAGAGAGAGAGAGAGAGAGAGAGAGAGAGACAAGAGAGAGAGAGAGAGAGAGAGAGAGAGAGAGAGAGAGAGAGAGAGAGAGAGAAGAGAGAGAGAGAGAGTACAGGGGTAAGGTTTGAAAAATGGGGGTGAGAGAGAGAGAGAGAGAGAGAGAGAGAGAGAGAGAGAGAGAGAGAGTACCAGGGCAAGGGTTGAAAAATGGGGGTGGTAAATAAACTATGGGCCTGCTGCTGCTGCTGCTGCTCCATGTATGGGCGTCGCTCCAGTACTGTCGATGATGCAGAAAGACAGACATCCTGGCGGTGTATCTTTCCATGTTCTACGGGAAGGTTAACTTGCATTTTACACGTTTCGAGATTCGAGACTAGTGGAGCGAGGCCCTATGTTGTGGAGTTGGAGTCNGAGAGAGAGAGAGAGAGAGAGAGAGAGAGAGAGAGAGAGAGAGAGAGAGAGAGAGAGAGAGAGAGAGAGAGAGAGAGTACGGGGGCAAGGGTTGAAAAATGGGGGTGGTAAATAAACTATGGGCCTGCTGATGCTGATGCTGATGCTGCTCCACTACTGTTGACGATGCACAAAGACAGACATCATGGCATTGTATCTTTCCATGTTCTACGGGAAGGATCTCTCGCATTTTGCACGTTTCGAGATTCGAGACTAGTGAAGCGAGGCCCTATGTTGTGGAGTCGGAGTCTCTCAGTCTTGATTCTGCAGCGCTGAGCGGCAGAAGAAAATAGTCGCTGCAAAAGAAAAACAACAAGAAAAGTCGCTGTCGCTGTCAGATGAGAGCAGAGAGAACATGCGGGGCCTGCTCCCGACCTGCAGGTGGGCGATACCGGCTAGGGGAAGGGGACAGCCCGTAGCATTAGGGACCATTCCAACAGGACCAATCCCTGTGCCTCCCCTCAGCTCTCGTGAACACGGTTCTGGCTTGCTACGGGGTTCCCCCTATGCCTACAATTAGGAGTAGTGCTGGGGTCTTCAGAGGAGTTCATCTTCATCTGGAGTACCGAGTGGCTGAGTACTGTGGGTGACTGCCATCCGTTTAGTATCCCACTTCTACAACAACCTGGGCCGAGGTCCCATTAGCAAAAAGGATAGGATCGAGCTCCTGAGTCTGGATGTGCTTGAAGCATCTTTATAAACTCATCCAGATTCGGGCATTCGATCCGATCCTCTTTGCTAGTGGGACCACGCCCCTGGGCTTAAAAAAAGAAAAAAAAGAAAAAAAGAAAGAAGGAGTAGTGGTAGGCTGGTAATGTGAGCTGAAATTGAGAGAAGAGCAGAGAGTGTCGGAGTTGCATATACGAGAGAGAGAGAGAGAGAGAGAGAGAGAGAGAGAGAGAGAGAGAGAGAGAGAGGCCTGTGGTTGCACCACTTGCCAGCCGTTAACATTTGGAACGAATCTGAACGCAGCGCTCGTCTCTGTGCACTCGAAATTTAGCCGGGTAGCGAGCGAGTGATGCGACTGCTACCGTAGTATAGGCCCTATATAGCAGGACCAGAATCAGGGCCTGGTTGTACCACTCGCCATCCGCCAGCATTTTGAATGCATCTGGACAGTGGTCAGTCCACATGCATTCGGAATGTTGGCGGATGGCGAGTAGTGCAAGTACGGTAGTCCTTCAGTCGCGGGTTACTAGAAGGGCATAACAGGGCCGAGGTCCCACTAGCAAAAAGGATCGGATCGAATGCCTGAATCTGGATGTGTTTAATGCAGAGATGCAGAAAATCAGTTCCATCTCGATTTCCTGCACATCTCCATAAACTCGTCCACATTCAGGCATTCGATCCATAACCTCTTTGCTAGTGGGACCACGCCCCAGGTGAGCTGTGGTGCCAGTGAGTGAGTGTTTTCGTTTTTGGAAATCATTGTGTTCTTTTTTGTTTTTGAAGATATTTGCAAATTACCCCCATACGTTGAGATATATGCCAAAATGCACTTAAAAAGATTTGGTTATAGCGGAATGCCCCTCTTTCAAAACAAATATTCTGTGAAATACCCCTGGTGTCCGTTGCCCCCCCCATCTTTGCAGTATACCCCTACCGGGTGCCATCCAACGTTGCAAAATGGCCCCAGTACTTGCCAGCTTTTCCCAGGTTCGCTATTGCGAAAAGGCCAAGGCCCAGATTGCAAAGTAGCACACCGGCCTGACAGCGGCACAACGCAAAGATTTCGTCCCAAAAGGGCATTTTGCTAAAACCACATCTTTCAGGGGCATGTGGGCCTATATCTCAATGTATGAGGGTATTTTCGCAAATGCCATTTTTTTTGGTTTTTTCTTGTTTTTTTTTTGGCCTTGAGATATTATCATGGGACTAACCAGCCCAAGTTTTTTTTTTTTTTTTTTTTTTTTTTTTTTTTTTTTT